AGTCGCAGGACTAGTAGAAACCTTTGAAATGATCAGACGAAGGAACGGAAAAACACCTAACCGATTTACGCCACAGTTGAACCAATAGGGAGACACAAGATCGAGCCGGAAAGACAGCCAAACAACCTTCAGCAAACACGATATTTTCGGCTATTTAGAAAAGAAGAAGTAAAGTTACATATTTAATATTGGGACGACGATCTGGATTATTCACCGGTATACTTTTCCAGATTTGGTACCAACTTTCAGTAATAAAGAAGACGTAACACATTATGGTCCATGCACACCAATATACATATAAATGGTCCCCTTTCACCGATTTCCTCTAAAAATTACATAATCCTTTATATATTATTTGAAAAGTAATTTATAAAAAGATATTATTTGTCATCTCTACATTCACTCTTCCAAATAAAATATGATATGGCAATCTCTTAATATGACATAACAATTTGTTTAACTTAGTCATAAATTTACTTTTCAATGCTACTCAAAATCAAATCAATAACATTTACGTAAAAAAAAACTATAAGTCAAAATTACGTTTTCATAGTAAAAAATATTAAAGAAAATATATTATTTACTTTTTTATATCTAAAGAAAAATATATATGTATAAAACTTTGATATTCTACATAATGAATTTTAAGAATAAACTAAAATAAAAAGTAATATCTTGACACAAAATTAAACTAACAAAATTTCACTTACAAAATTACGTTTACAATAATCACCACAATTTCATACTTTAACTATATATATAGTGTAAAGATAATGTATTTAAAAATAGAGAATTTTTTAGAAATGTCATTTTGAGATGTCACTTTTTAATAAAGCCAAATTTTCAAAATCTTTGTAAAAATGTCACTTTTTCAAAATCATTTACTCAATAAATCATTTATGTTTCGGTTAACTATGTTGTATTTTTCAAAAATTCTTAATGGATTATTCCATACTCCCAAGTTCCAATGATATGCTAATATTTTTAAAATTCCTCTCAAAATGATTTATTTAAATTCAATGTTATGCTGGTTTATGTTATATGAAAATATTATTAGTTTTATTTTTTACGAAAAATTGTTCATATTAATCTTTTAATATTTCGATGTCAAATTCAGTCTTTATTCAAAATTCAATATGAAAAAAATGATTTTTGTTGTTGTTTAAATGATCAAATAAGGGGTTTAGTATCTTATTAAAGGGATCTCAACTTTTTATAATAGATTGTGCATTCCAATATATATATAAATGATTATACAATTGATTTGACATGTTTACGTATATAAACTAATAAAATGATAAAACTAAAATTTTGAAAATTCATATTATTAACGAAAACTATATTGTTGACAAAAAAGAAACAACAAAAATATGTCTATAATAAAAATCAAACAAATACATATTTTTACATTTTCAAAGATGAAAATTTGTTTTCGAAAATTGAAAACAAAATTATAAATAAGTTAGTCGCACGGGCGAATCACGTATTGATTTAAACAATGTGAACCTCCTCGATAGCAAAAAGCTTCAATATCTACACTTATTCATTATATCAGTCTTTAGACCTTGGATCGGTCCTTATTTAAACATTTTTATTTCAATAATTGCAAACTTCATCTCAAAGAGGTAAAATGATCTTCATATATTGATGAAGCTTGTTGGTTGTATGCAACGGCACCGGACAAAACATTCATTACTATATCTTACTATAAGAAAATGACAACGGTTCAAGAACACACGTCACTTCTTCCATTAGTTACGATTACTAAATCTCATAAAACAAGTCACAAGCAGAGTAAAAGATTATTTAACTACAAGCATCTTCGTAGGTTTAGGTAGAAGTGTTTTAATCTTATAAAGGGTTTTAGGGTTCTAGGGTTTTGGTACTTCACTCTTCATCATCCTCATCTCCATCACCACCAGAAGCTTTCTTGGCTCCAGCTCTCTCGTTCCTTCTCTTCACTCTTCCAGGTCTACCACCACCCAATGGACTGGTTAGTGAAAAGTCTATGTGCTTCTGCGACTCTACCCTAACCATGAACGATGGAATGTTCACCAGTTGCCTCCCAACTCTAAACACAATCAGAAACCATTAGGTCAACAATCAGTCTTTGTAACAACACCAATACTCATCAACATTTGAGTTTTGTTTAGAACTGTCATTTGTGAGAAATTAAAAGGATCCACCCAAGATTCTACCCAAGACAAGCAAGAGAAAACCGAAATAGAGTTCAATTGGAGCAGCTAACTATACGCGGTTCCCAAGATCATATCAGTTTCAAAAGATATGTTTAAAGCTGTGAAGTGCGATAAATTGGAAGGATCCACCATTTCTACCCAATTCAAAGGCATAACTTTGCAACAAGTCAAAACTGATAAGATTCCACACAGTAAAGTTCATTTAGTGCTGTGAATTGTGACAAATCGGAAGGATCTAACCCGAACCAAAGGCATGATTCTATAGCTAAGCGATAAGCGTTGGCACATTAGAATGTTGTTCTCAAGATTATACCAATTCAAAAGGCACAAATATTAGCGCAATTGTGATTACCTGATGTGCCTTTGTCGGATAAGGACACGAGCGTGGTGAATGGACTTGGCCATACCAGACTTGAAAACAATAGTTTGGAGACGGCGTTCAAGGAAATTCTCAACAGTCAAAGCCAAAACGTAATCGAGCTTGTTCTGGCTTTCATCGAGAAGACCATACCGATTCATCCTCCTAAGAAGAGCTTCACCATCGAAGATCCTACGAGGGTTCTTCTCGTCAAGAGTGAGAAGTTCTCTAGCAGCATTACGGATTCTGCTAAGTGAGTATTGAACTCTCCATAGCTCTCTCTTGCAACGAAGACCGTATTCTCCAACAAGCTTTAACTCAGCATCAAGACGCTCCTTTTCGTAAGGACGTCTTGGCTTCTTGAATGTTTTCCCATCTGAAAAAAAACAATCAAACTCACCATTAACAATTAAATCTTCACTGCTTCACATTGAAACAGAGAAAATAAAGATAACAAAACAGAGTACCAAAAAAAAACTCATTTTTATCAAACAGATTATGATCAAACAAAGTTTTGCATGTATCGATAGCTATAAAATCGAAATCAAATAATACCCAGATGATCAAAATCAGGTCTTTAAAGGAGAGACCTTTAGTAAATCAACAGAGTCTATGGATCTAAATTCCTGTTTGGGGAAAGATGAAATTATTTTCGAAAAAGGCTTTAAAAAGGCAAAATTTTCGATTTCATGAGAGCTTACAGTTGCGGTAGAATCTGACTTGCACCATGGTTGCCTCCAAACGAAGATGAGTCGATCACGAGGAAGAAGGAGAAGAGTGTTTTTATATCACAGCTATGTAAACCCTAAAGTGGCTTTATTTATTGCTCGATGAGTCATTTTCATTTGGGCTGTATTACGTTTGGGTTGGCCCATTGGGTTTCGTCATTGATTTTTATTACTTACTAAATTTTTGAGGAAAAAAGTTAACAATTAAAATGATCAAATTTGCTATGAATGATAGACCAAGGCTGGATTGTCACATACAATATGGAGATTTTTCTTTC